CGAGCGATTCTGTGATTCTGTGATTTCCACCTCTGTGCTCCGGGAGCCTCACAAGGTCCTTCCAGCACTGGCATATTCTGCCTTTAGCTCTGACAAAACAGACCATGGATGAGGTCAGCCAAGTCCCCTGAGCTTAGCTTGACCTGCTGTGACTACAGGGGTTATCACAGAGCCTTGGAGAAAGCCCTGAGAAGGTGTCTTCCCTTCACTGCTGCCAGAGCAGGAATTACACCCTTCTCCAGACTGAGGCTTGAGCCTGCACAGGGGAGGGTATATCCTGATGGAGCATTTAGCCTTGAAAAAGCAACTAACCCTGCACCCAGCTGTCTGCAAGGTGGTGCCTGCCTGTTCCAGCCTCTCCAGGACAGCACTGGGGAAAGGAGAAGAAAAAGAAGATTTTATTTTCAAACCTCCTCCTACCTGTCTGGTTTTGGCAGACGTTTCTATGTAGGGGATCCCGTAGCTCCGGGCCAGGTCCTGCGCTTGCCGGGTCTCCACTGTCCGGGCTGGGAGGTCACATTTATTTCCCACCAGCACCATGGGAACATCATCTGAGTCTTTCACCCTCTTGATCTGCTCCCTGCAAGAGTAAGAAGTGCCAAACTGAAGGGAGAAGAGGTACTGGGGGGCAGCTCCAGGACACTCTTGTTAAGAATTGACAGCGATGCTTCGTTCCTGCCAAGCACCTTGTGTTGGGCTTTCAGGAGAACATAAATAACCACGGCACATAGGGGAGTAAGTATCAAAACAGCCAGGGCACTTCTGAAAACGAACACTAAACATACTTCTGCTCTTTAAATGCAACTGTTTACAATATACAACTTGAAGTTATGACAATCTATATTAAGACGTTAGCTTAAGATAGTTTAAGCTAAATAAAAATGAATACTCAAGCAGTTACCCGTGTTATTTCCAGATTAAGCAATCCCCCTAAATGGGGATTTAAAAATAAAAAAATAAAAATCTCCTGCAACCAGAGTTTGCTGAGCTGAGTAACCAGATTTGGCAGCCATAGCCTTTTCTGCAGATGCACAGGCAGCATTTGCTTCCTTTCAGTTTCGTTCAGGTCACTCAAAGTTGAGAAACCACCTGGGAAGCCAAAAAGCTCTAATGCTCGCTTATTCATTCCAACCTCGGATTTAAAACTAGGTGGGATGAGACCTACCACTTCTAAAAAGTGCTGAAGGCCATTATGACCACAAACAATCCGTTCAATTCCCTCCTGATAGAGAATAACTTCCTTTGCTTAATAAATCATTTAACCTCAGATGCACAGCAGCTTTATTTTCTTGCTCATGCATCCAGAACATTTAAAACTGTTTTATTTAATTCAGAAAAGTATTATTTAAAATACTGATTTCTGCACTTCAACTGAATTCAGATCTCCATCCAAAAGCAGGTGGACATGCATCACACAAAAAAACCCATCATTCATCTTTTTAAATGTAGCAGAAGACAGAAATGAAGTCTGACTGTACGTATGATATGCCATAGAGCCACTTAAGTGCTCCATGCAACATCCTGACGAGCAAACACAAGTACTAAATTTAGTGCATGAGCTACACTGAGCTGAAAAGAGATACCCCCTAATGGTTACTAACCAGGGAGAGCCAGTGTTTCCCTGAGGAACAGTCTTTTTAAAAGGCAAACACAGAGCACAGGCGAAAGGAGATGCAAGCTGATTATTCACATCATGAATAAAACTAGGGCTTGAAATTGAGCCATCCTGCGAGTGATTCAGAGGCATCAGCCCCAGCACAAGGATGAATGCTGCCGAATCCCTCAGGTACTTCAGGAAAATCCCATTCTTTGTCCTCCAGTTCAACTAAAACAAGCCAAATTACTCCAACCATACAGTTGTCACGCTGGACACGCCTGCCAGCCAAAGACTGAGACAACTTAAGAGCTCAGAGCAGCACCTCTGACTATGAAGCAAGGCTATGCCTGTGCTCAGAGCTACAGGATTGTCCAAGACCTGGGTTTATGATGAGAGCCTAGGGTACACGGTCCCTTGGTGGGCAGTGGACAGAGCCGGGACAAGCAGAGCCATCTCCTGCATCCTCTGCAAGTGGCTCCCATCACAGCCAAGCCTCAAAAAAAGGCAGAAAGCAGAGAGAGCCCTCCCTAAATTAGCATCAGAGTAATCAAGAGAGACTCCTGCAGCATTTATATCACATACCTTGGCTCTCCGGCTCTGCAGGGGAGATGGCAGCAGAGGGGAGAAATGGGATAGGTAACCTGGGTGCAGCCAAAGCAGGATCACACCAAGATGGGATGCCACTGCCCCCCCAGTACATTCTTTTGGGCAAGTCACCTCTCCGGAGCTATGACACTACTCCTCCTGCTCCATCTTTGCCCTGGTTGAAACTAAGCTCCATGGGCAAGTCACCTCTCCGGAGCTATGACACTCCTCCTGCTCCATCTTTGCCCTGATTGAAACTAAGCTCCGGCAGGCCAGGACTGCTTCTCCCTGTGTGCAGGTGGCTGGCAGACCACAGCCTTGGCACAGCGGCTGCCAGCAAGGAAAGCAGCCTTCCCTGTCCTTCCCAGTCTCCTCTCCCAGCTCCCAGGCCCAGCAGAAGTTTCTGAGATCGATTACACCAACAAAGCAATTCCATTAATTAGGAAGGGAAGGGAGGGGGTCATAGAGGATCAGCTCTCTCTTTAGTCACCATAAACACTTGAACATTACATTACCGAGTCCCCAGAGGCCACGAGCAATCCCTTTCGATGGGTTTTACTGGAGTCACTGGCATTAGCAGTCTGCTCCGCCTTTTCCCTGGGGAATGGCCACTCGAGCTAATTGTCTTTGCGGGCAGCCAGTGTTTCCACTGCAGGGCCTGATCTAAAGGGGAAGGCAGAAGGGTGCAGCGGCAAGGCCTCCCCTTTGCACAGGGCACGAGGAAGGGAGTCCTTCCGACGATACTGACCTGTACTGGTGAATATCTTCAAAGGACTTGGTGTTGTTGATTGCAAACACACAGAGGAATCCCTCCCCCGTTCTCATGTACTGGTCTCTCATGGCACTGTACTCCTCTTGCCCTGCGGTATCCAAGATGTCTAACAAGCAGGTCTCTCCGTCGATGACAACTTGCTTTCTATAGGAATCCTGCAGGCCAGGAGAGGGAAAGAAAGGGAAGAGGATGCATTAAGGGAGGGCTTGGGTCCACCCAAGCGACGGGATGCAGCAAGTGCATCCCTGGGAAGATGTCAGCTCATGCTCTGCCTGGGTTTAGTTCCCATTAAATAGCAGACTGAATCTGCTTCAAAAATAAGGGAAGGAGGGAGGGTGAGGAAGGGAGGAAAGGGGGAAGGAAAGAGGTAGCAGCTGAGCAGGTCTCCCCTTCTTTGGCAGGGCGACAGAGAAGATAGCCCCTGGCTTGCTCTCCCCATTCCTAGCCCTGTCTCTGGCACACCAGGGGCAGCGCTGTCTCTACCACACCACAGAGCCCTCAACAACTGTTTTCCTAAGCTTTATTTAGTCCCTGCTAATCCCTTCTTCTGGACCCTGCCCAGGTGCTGGAATGGGACGCCCAGGAAAGATTACTCCAGCTGGCCAGAGCTTCCAGCCACTGTCTGCAATATGCAGGGCTGGAAGGTGTTTAAGATCACCTCCAGTGCATCTCAGATCAGGCACCAGAGGCAATATGCCACCAGTACAGCTGCAAACTGGGCTTGATGGTAAACCTCTTCTTAAACGTGAGAAAAAAAACACAGCACGCTGTAATGAGGGTGTTTCCCACAACCAGTCTGTGCCCAGAGGGCTCCAGGAGAGGTAAGGACTACCCAGGCAGATACTTTGAATTTGGGGATTTTCCCTTCTGCAGAGGCCATCACAACTTACTGCAGATGTAAGGAGGACTGGAAATCACCAGGAACATCCCTCAAAATGTTTCGCTGTCAAGGCAGACTCCTCAAAGCACTGCTCCTCCCTACCACACCTCTCCCCCATTTCTGTCTCACCAGCAGGGATGCTGCTGGGGTAGTCCCTGCACAGGGAAACAGTCTCATCCCTCTCCGATAGCCATCCCCTGGACATCCTCGACTCTCAGCAAGAGAAGAAAGCCAAACCCAAAGGTATGAAGAAGGTGCGAGTCCGCAATATGACGACGACAGCACTTTGCAGCCACCCGCAGAGGCTACGGCTGCACTTTAAAATTAATTCAAATGTCTGCTGCTCTTCCAACAGCCACAACAGTGTTATCAGTTGAGCTTTGATCGGCAGACAAACAGCTGACACAGCAAAGGTCACTAACGGGACCAGCAGAGGCACTAAAAGGGAACGGAGCCAATGCAGCTTCCACCCGTTGGTTCATTACAAACACGTCACTGACTGGAGCTAATAAAGTCTTTCCTCACCTTGCAGAGAGGGAGGTGAAATCTGAGGAGATGAGATCTGCTCTGCCACGACCTTCTTGGCCATGTCTTCGTGAAAAGGGGACTGCTGACCCACCAGGAATAAGCGTGGAGTGATGGGCTGGCTTCCAGCCAACTGCTCTGAAGGTAACGGGCAGGCTCCCTTGTAGGGATGCGCTCCCATTTCTAATCAATAGTGTATCTGGAGCCTCCTGGTGCAAGGTAGAAGAGCACTGGTTCCACCTCCAGGCTCTCAGTGCCTGGCAGGGACTGGCAGAGGGGACCTCAATGTGCCCAGCAAAGCACCCTCCCACCCGTGCGCCCTGGCTTGGACCCGCCTGTCAACACACATTTTCACAATTAATTGCCAAGTCCTCAGCTACAGGAGGTCTTACCAGCAGACAATACACTAAGGAGAAGCAATCCCACACCTCGGCTCAGGTCATCAGAAGGCTGTCCATGAGGCCACTCAGCTCAGCTTCACTAATGAAGCAAAGCTGTTAACAGTCTTGCAGAAGATGCTTTGCATCCCACTCCCCAAAGGAACGGGACAAGCTCTGCTCACCCCTGCTTTGTGTCCAGCTTCATCCAAACGCCCCTCAGGATGGCAGCTCACCATCCCTGCCACACTGCTAGGAGACCTGGCTGTCGCTGCAGGGGTAGCTGCCACCAACCCACATGTCCAGCCACTGGCACTCGGCAGCCTCCACACTCCTCTGCTCCCCTATATCCTAATGCACCTTCTTTCACAAGGGAAAGTGGCCAGACTCAGCTGTGAAGTGCCAAGCGGCAGCAACAACATCCACTTCAGACTCAGGATCCCAGACAGATGCTGGAAGCATCCCAGGTGTGCTGGGAGACCAGGCCAAGAAGTCTATTTGTTAAACACTACAGTCAAGACACAACCAGATGCTTGGGAAGCCCATTACTACCTGACTGCTGACAGCTGAAAGGTGAACTGAAGAATTTCTCAGCACAGTCCAACTCTTTACTCCATCCCCAGTCATTTGCCATGGGACCCTGCCAGCGGCACAGATTTCCTTGGTGCCTTGGCCCTCCCGCTCCCAAACAAAGGCCTAAGGCTACTTGGCAGCCCACGAGCACACACTGCAGTGGGTCAGCCGGCACCGAGTTACAAAGCGAGACACTTGCACAAGTGAATTGGGAGGGCAGTAGAGGAGCAGGCACTCAGTTGGGGTCTTCAAACTCACTTCTCCACTCTTACTGCCCTGGGGACCATCTTCTCAGTGCACCCCAAGACTCGCACCCTCCTTCACAGCACAGCCTGCGTTCAATTCATTTAAGTGATGGGTAAAGCCTTTGCTCCATGCATGTATACCCTTCTTTTCCTCCTTTTATCCTGCTCATTTCAACACTGCTGTGCTGTTGTTATCTGGCTGAATAGTTAAGAGTCAGCTCCTAGGCATGATCCAAAGGAGCTTAGTCACAGGAGGGTGGTTTGTTGGTCACATTCGGACGGCTGGCAGGTAACTCTGTGCACCCTAAATCCCCATAAATTAAAGCATAATTAAAAGGAGTCACCCTGGAACAAGTGAGAAAATTGCTATGCTGGGGGGTATGCAGAGCACAGCCAAGGGAGCTGCAAAGGCATGAGGGCTGGTGGGACCTGCAGGTGGAAAAGCACCAGGGGTGAGAGGGGTGAAGAGCAGCTCAGGGCTGCTTTAGGAAGAGAAGAGCAGAGTAGGGCTGGGGGAACAGGGGAGGAGAGCAGACACCTCCCAGGGCACATCAGGAGCGGGCAGGGGAAGAGGGTGTGCTGGGAAATGCCATGCAAGGTTTACATTCCCTGCTCTCTGTTTACATGGAGAAAATTCCCTGCAGGGTTTGTACAGGGGGCAGGCAGCCGGAGACAAAAAAAATAAGATGCCAAAACCCAGCACATCACTGGATTAGAGATGTCTCTGCCCAACCTGAGGTCCAAGAGACGGTCCATCCCTGCAGGTGTCTCCCCAGGGAGACTGCTCTTCTTCAGCAGCTCTTTTACTGAAAACAACCTGGAACAGGTTTCTAAGAAAAGCATACAATGCTACTGGTGAGAAGCACACAAAGGGAGATGAGCTGAGGAAGAAGGCAGCTGCATCCATAAGCAAGGTGAGGTGCAGCACCCAAGAGTTGTGAGCCCTTCAATAAAACTCCAGTCTCTGCCGCAGCCTTGCTAGGTGACCTTGGCCAAATGACGCAATAGCATGTGCTTTTAAGAGCTTTCTCTCCTTCCCGTTTGCAGCACTGTAAGACTATTTCTGCCTTTCTACCAAGCCTTGTCTCGCCTGTTCATTTAAGCTCTTCGGGGTGGGGACTACACGTACACCACTTACCAGAATAGCTTTCTGATCCCAGCTGGGGCCTTTTAGCCATTATAACAACAACAATAACTGCAGCAACCACATCTGCACTTATGCACATCTGGCAGAGAATCCTTTAGGACTGCAGATAGGGAGGTTATTCTCCAAGAGGCATAACAGAGCTGTAATTCACCTTCCCACAATCTGCCAGCTTGTGCAGAGCAGTGGCTGCTGCCCACATTCTCCCCGAATGAAGGTGTGTGACGCAGGGGGTAATTAGCATCTTGCCAGCAATGGTGAAAGCACTCGGAGAATGGAGTACATTTTTTAAAAGTAAAAAAAAAAAATAATAGTGTAGTAGATGTTGAAGACCAGACCTCCTCCTCTGCAAAGCCTGGAGGAGCACAGGGTCCCCGCCGGCTTCTCCAGGCAGGCCAGTGCTGCCATCCACACCAACTAGGAGACCCACACTTTAACACCTCGCAATGGAACAGAGGCAGCACGCTGGGAACCACAATGATTCAGCTGCTCAGCACGGCTTCCTCAAACTGCGACATACATAACACAACCAAGCTCTGATAAAACCCATTTCATCAGTGAATCTCAACGCAGCCTGCATGAGAAGTCAATATATTTACTCTAATTTCACAGGAGGAAAAATGGAAGCACAGGCACAAAATGGCTCTTCAGTCCCTAACCTTTAAACACCTCCCTTTACTGTCATCTTATGAGAGAGGAGGACTTCTGTGCTGCTTCTCAGGCTCTGCCTGGCTCTACCCACTGCTGCTGCCTCCCTTGCCATCTCTGTTCAGCAGACATCGCTGTCTTTCTGCAGGAGGCTCAAGTTGGTCACTATGACCTCCAGACACAGACGTAACAACCCAGTATAGCT